AAGGCCTTTGAATTTCGGTTAAGTTTGTTATTCGCTGGTGCGTTGATTATCGGTCCGCTTTTCGGGATCGGCCCTTAGCCTCATGCGCCCAATGAGACAAACGGAACGTGGATGGGACAGCACCTTATTGGCTAGGGGCTGCCCAACTTGGGCGGGCGGTAGCTGTTCAATGAAGTGCGAAGACTTCTCCCACCATCGAGAGGAAGCCCCAGGTACCTCGCTCCTACGTCCACCGTGTTTATTTGCTGGAGTGACCTCTCTAGAAAGTGTGTGTGGATAGAAGAAGGAAGCCAGAAGGTGCCCAAGTAGCTGGCCTTGTGAGACTGATCGTCGTCTGGCCTCTACCCGTTGACCATTCAGGAATGATTGGATCTGCGGCTTGGAGGANGAGCCATTACACCACGTCCAGGTGCAGTCTCGTCGTGAAGATGCACAAACAGTGGCGTTCGTGCATCTTCTCAATTTCCCTGTATCATTAGTCCACTGAACTTTTCAATCTTCTCTTCGATCCTACTTTCAACCTTACCTGTCTTCTTCCTAATGTTCACCCAAACGGACAGCCGAAAGATAGCAACCAAAACCGGCGCACAATAGTGCATGATTAATGGTTGTACAAACTGCAACTGCAACTGATTACTTCTGTACTAAATATTTTTGTGTGATGGACAGTGGAGGGCGTGAGCCCCATATTCACGAGGACTTCCTGTTTATCCACGAGACCCGGCAACCAAAGACCTCGAAATCGGAGTTGCAAAACAAGTGTGAGCGTGGTGCTCTGGACAGTCAATGGGACTTTCTGCAACCCAAATGAAAAACTACATATAATATTATATCTCCTCATCAGGAGTTTGATATCGTTAACTACAAATCAAATTATTCTGTGATTAGGAGAAAAGAAGAAAAATCAACTGCTGTTTCGTGTGATACGCACATGGAAACGAATTCTGATAACTTTACGGAATAAGAACGACGAAGAATCCATTGGGAAAATGAATAGTTGTTCGGACAATGAAATCATACAGTCATGAAGAAAAGGAGTGGCACGATGAGAATTCAATTGCTCATTGCGTGAGAATGATCAGTATCTGCCTAGCGAAATGGAAAAGAACCTTGGGAACATAACACAGTGACCAATCCAGTACCACTTAGCCTCTATCTTTTGGGTTTGGAGTCAAATGCTACAAGTAGAGTATGACGAAGATAACCCTATTCAGTGGTGCGCGAATTCGCGCACATCACGATACTCTCCACGATCAACCGTGATTCTCTGTTGTGGAGAGATCGCATGGCAGGTGAAACCCTGCGATCTCCTCTGACATCGCCACCAAACAGTGACTGATTAAAGCAAGGCCCACATGTATATGGTTAATCAATCAAATGGCTGCTCTGGTATATGTGACCTGGAAACGAGTCCGGTACGTATAGTTTCGCTGTCTGTAGACCTGGAGTGGCCGACGATTTGGAGAGCAAAACTGTTGGGTTTATCGATCGGTTTTTCATCAATCGACTCACTCAAGCTACGTACCACTGTGACGACAGGCACGATTCTCGATCGCATGCCCTGCAACCAGCATAAAACTGCATGCTTGAAAGTAGAACAGGAGCTATTAGCTGTCATTGCTAAACGAGACCCGTCTGTAGCGAACAAATGCCACTAACATATTGCTTCAGCCACATTTTTACAAAAAAAGAACATACCTTGCCGTTCAATCATAATGCGTGAGAACCCAAAATAGAAGACGTACCGGGAAACAGATGAGTTTAGGTGTTTCACATCGAGGCTCAATTCACCCAGTGCACATTGCTCGCATTCAGTAAGGCGCCTGGTGGTCCAGTGTGCCCAAATTCTCGGCCACGACTGTTCGAATAGCAATTCCTGTGTGAACTCCAAGGGACCGATCGACGGGGTTAGATGAGTCATGAGCGGATTCACTTTGACTGTACACGTACCACGAGTATTGCATCCAAGACTATTGAAACGACCAGGGGTACCTCCGTGGGCTTGGGTGTTGGGAACGGGATCGATGGCAGTGACTAATTCTTCCGGCCCATCCAACAGATGTGCAAGACGAGCTCGGGTAAAGGCGGTATGACACAGTTCGAGCTCGGACCGATTCGAACACGCTAACTGCAATTCACGCAACGCTCTCAAAGCAAATCGTGCGGTATTGCGAGAGTGAGTGGGGTCTAAATGCGTGATCGGGACAAGTTCAGTAGTGGGTGCGGAGATCTGCAAAGCACAGTATACCGGGCAGATGAAGCAAACAATGAACCAAACACGTTATATCACTGAAAACACACGTGTTTGGTAATTGTAGACAAAAAGAGATATTCCCGAAGAGGAATCTATAGGAATTAAGCGTAACCTCCAATAAAAATGGTCTTTTGAGATTGGAGGGTGCATACACCCATTATTAAGTTTGTATTGAAGCGACCATTCCTTATCATTTTATCCCTCGACTATGTCTCCAAAAAAAACATCAGACCAGGTATTGACTCTGATTAGTAATCATTATCAAAATCCAGTATACTCAAATCTGTTTGAAACTCGCTTGACACCACGGTATCGTCGAGTTGTGCAATCTCGATAATTTGAACATACATGATGTTGAATCTCCAGGGGCGGGTTATAATCACGCCTCTCTGAGCTGCTTATGAACAAATCAGCTGAGTTTTCGTCCCAAGCAGTCAAGAAAAATAGGCAGCTAATTACACAAAATCAATCATTTCGTACTATTGAAATTAAATGTGGGATTAAAACGTATTTCTTGGAGTTGTATGCAAACTGAATTTATTTTGGGTGATGGTGGCCCAGTGGTTTAGTCGCTGTCACCCGCGTGCTTTGGACTCTGTGGTCCGTGGTTCGAGCCCCGCCACCGCCACCCAACGTTGGTGATAGACAGCTTTGCTGTTGCCTGGTTCTATACCACGCATGACCTATCGTGGTATTATGTAGTTCGCCACTCCAAGTCCCGGGGATCAGGTTGCCGGTTACCATCACTGAACAGCAGTATTCATGACTATGGGGTCCGCCCGGCCTACCAAATCATCAGAGAAATTGGGGAGAGTAAATTTTTGTCGATTACCACTTTGGAAATTTTCATCCTAGCAATGTCTAATTTATGACCTCTTAGGAGTGTGGAATTGGTGAAAAAAAGCACGGAAAATTCTTTGTT